CTTTTTACTACACGCTAGTGATCCGTTACGGCTTCGTCTAGTTCTATTAAATACCGGCTGTATTTAGACGTAATTCATTCATCAAATACCATTTATGTTATCAATTTATGGAATTAAAAAAAACTCTAAAGCTGTGCTACTCTAAAGGCTGTATTTTATTTAGTAAAATACGGCTCGTAGTTTCATCACAATCGGTGCGGACATTCCGAAGATATTAGTCCCGACAGACAGGCAGACAACAATCTTAAACATGGTTATCATAGCAGCATGCAAATAGTCAGCCACCTGAGTTTAATTGCAATTAGTTATATTAATATCACACGCCGACACTTTAATTTTATACGTACATTCGCAAGACCCCAGATTATAAAATTGTTTAGAGTCGAAAACATAATATAACTATTTATAAAATAATGGATTTGACTTTTAAATTATATTATTTACGTATTTTAAATTTACCTACAGGGAAAAAATAATGCTTGCCAAATTATTTTAGTTAGCATTATTAATTATTTATTACACAGAGTATAAAAGCGATATAGGCTGTATATTACATTGTACATTGTCCTTAGTCTATCTCAAGGGCTAAAAATATTAAAGCACCTTTAAATTTTATTATAGCAATAAAACTTATAAAAGTTGAAAATCATTTTATTAACGTACATGCTAGGTTATTCATATGAAATAGATAACCACTAAATGTAATTCTGAAGTTAGTAAAAAAAACCCGGTCTAGATACGTCAATTTTTTCTGGAGTTATCGTGACCCACAGAACATAAGTATTGTGTCGTGACCACATATAAAATCAAAATCCGGACGTCTACGTAATTTTTTTTTTCAAAGTAGAAATGTCAAATGATATTTTAGAAAATAAAAGATTAATTTGAGCGTTTTATTGATATGTGACATATTATCGTATAAGTGCAATATGTTTATGATGGAGGCATTTTAAGAGCACAAAGTTACTTGACCGTGACGTGTCGAGAGTTAAGTACCTATACTAATAACACTTCGCGTTATGAGTAGTGCAATAAATTGAGCAGCTTTCAGTCTCGCACACTTCTATGGTTATCTTGTTTATATGTTTTTATTCTACCATTGATTTTATAGGGATATGAAAATTGTGGTTTGAAAAGTGAATGACGAAAATCAAACTTTGAATAAGTAAAAAGTAATAATTGATTTCAAAGAACTAATAATATTGAAATAATTTCTACACGATCGCTTCTGCAGTCGGTGCTAAGATAAAGTGTATAGAAGAATTAAAAATAATTTCTCATTGATCCAAAATTAAGTTGCATGGCACAATTTGTGAAATTTATGTACACTTATAATTGATATGTATATAAGTGAGTATAAAAATTTATATGTTTTTATGATAATGGCATGTGTATTGTAAATTGTAAGTGTACTTGTCAAATAAATAAATTATAAAGCCTCGACTTTGGAACTGGTATGGGGAAATATTATTTATTATTTTTAGTTCTGTTTTTTTTTTCGAGAAATTAGTGAACATACATAAAAATGCGCCTCAAATATAGAATCTCATTTTTTGAACAAGGCAAAAATTTTCCATTCGATGTATTATTTTATAGAGATGGGCCGAATATGGATTTTACCGAATACGAATATTCGGCCGAAAGTTCGGTAAAACATTTACCGAACCGAATATTCGGCTGAACTTTATTCGGCAGGATCTCCTCAGTACATAACCAATTTATGTCAAAACTTGTTACCGTAAAGTGCGCGGGATTAGCGCCGGACCCTGCCTCTCGCTCCCCGCCACACCCGACATGTTATTGCATTATTTAATACTGAGCAAATTACCGGTACATGCTTATGTTTTGATTTTTGTGAGAAAAAAAAGAACTTCCTATAGTCCAGGATCCATCGCCCATTTTTGCACGTGATTACTATCAAGCTAATTTTCCGTCAGTAGCTTTATTTTGATGAGACGCCCAATAATTTCCTGTACGAAACTCTCGATTGTGGTAGCTAACAGAAGTATCAAAGACAAAATGTGTTGATTTGATGATTCTCAAATATTTATTACTAACTGATTTTTTTTGTTAAATTTCAAGATATTTATCTAAATTATTCGAAAAAATATTTGTCCTGCAAAATGCATGGTTTGGTCAAAGAGTCCCCTCTATCCAATATGTATCGATAACGATGTCATCATAAATGATTACTAACCAGCTGATGTTTTTGTTTTAGTTAATATTTATATAATTTAACAGACATATTGTCCTTCAAATTGCGTGGTACGTTATCCTGGTCCTACGCTCAGAAGTTGTTAATACCACAAGACCATTTTTTTCATTACTAACTGTAGGACAAAAATATTACATGATAGGTTAGTGTGTTCTCTGCCCAATTGAAACATCGTCCTACAAGAAAACAGGTATGTATTATTAGTCCGACAAGAATTGTCATTTTTTCGTTTTTCTATCTGTAAAATAAGATAAAGTGAAAAAAGCTTTTTTAAAATTTAAATAACTTTATTTTTTAATAAACTTGGTACAAAAATTTATGTATTTATATATATAAAAAAAGAAGTTAATCTTCATCAGATTCATGTGATAAATCTTCGCTACTAACATCGCTGTCATCTTCTATTTCACTTTCCTCACTCGTAATATCTGACTTTGTAATAACATGAAAAAATTAAGTAAATTATATAATACAAATAAATTATATAACTAACAAATAAAAAAAATTATTTAATTAACTAACCGTGAAGTGCATGGCAATGGGTCCGGTTCTACATTTTCAGCAGACGTTAAAGATATCGAGGAATCAATGATTCCAGTAGATTGAGACGCTGATCATGTTGAAGCTGGCTCAGTGCTGTGTATGAGAAATTATTAAAAAAAATTTAAAAATTGTTTATTTGAGAAACATGCAAATAAATACAGTATCTACATAAATATCACATAGCATCATCGTAAAACAGTAAAGACCTTTTTCTCTTTTCTCTTGAAAAGTAGGGTTTTCACAAAACAAATTACACAAAAAACACTCCATAATTATTTTCCAGCACAAAAAACATTTCATGAAATATTTTTTCAAGACAAAATAAAACACGTGGTCGACTGAGAAAATGTTTGCAGGCTTATGGGCGACACTAACGTGGGATACCTAATACGGAGTAAGCAATGCTCTGAATCTGTATCTGAATCTGAATCTCAATAGGACAAATATTTTTTCGAATAATTTAGATAATTATCTTGGGATTTAACAAAAAAAAAAATTCAGTTAGTAATAAATATTTGAGAATCATCAAATCAACATATTTTATCCTTGCTACTTCTGTTAGCTACCGCAATCGAGAGTTTCGTACAGGAAATTATTGGGCGTCTCATCAAAATAAAGCTACTGACGGAAAATTAGCTTGATAGTAATCACGTGCAAAAATGGGCGATGGATCCTGGACTACTAGTGTTATTCTTAATGAACATGGATAATTATGTGATAAAAATGAGTGGCAGGAGATATACATTTGGACTGATAAAGTGAAATGTACTATGTATAATGTAATGCAATATTTATTTGTTTTATTACACAAAAGTATATCAAGCTTTCTATTTGCTATAATTGGAAATAAATCTACAGTGTCCCTAAAACATTATGCTATACAAGTAGATTTATAATAAAATATACTTTCAACAGTAAAATTATAAAAAACACGGCATTACTCAATTCGTACATTCATACATAAAGTGATTTAACCGAATATTCGGCCGAATACGAATATTCGGTAAAGCTGCCGAATGTGCCGAATACCGAATACTTATAAAATGAATATTCGGTCCATCCCTATTATTTTACACGTAACGCACATTCAGCTTCGTATTAAAAATCTTAAACTCATGACCGAGATTGTATAGATCATAATATGTGCAAATTATAAATATCCACTTAAGTGATAACAAAATTAATCTATGCACCTTTTCTTTCATTATAAATTATTCATGCCATTGCGGAGAACTGTTTCTAGTTTATTTTTCCCCACCTGTAACTGTATCATAATCGTAATAGAGAACAATTCACAGAAATATTCCTCAGTATCAGAGAACGTAATGGCTGGCGAAATATTACTCGAGCCAATTTTCGCCGAATGAATTCATATATCATTACTTCGTATCGTTTAACTTTCTCGATTGGGTGCAGTTGTTTTACATAGAACTGTATCAGCGGTGGTGGCCCGCTAACTGTGTCGATGTATCGATTCGCTCGAAGGCGCTGCTCTCTGCTTTCATCTAGCAACACCAGACAACCCTAAAAAAAATCGCTCCCCATGTCATTTACAAAATATAAACCACATTGCTTGCATCACTGCATTAGCGAACGAATGGTATAATCGTTTCATTCGCATCCATCGCTGCTAAAGATAAGAGTTAGCCGCGACGTGTTGCGGCCGCGAGTCAGTGTAAACGGTTTAAGCTTCCTCCCTTCGATTCAAAACGAATGAGCGGGTAGCCTTCAGCACGGGAACGCCCCAAATTCGTAAAGTCGGAGTTCGAACTATGTTCATCTCTTTTACCCACGTCAACTCCGCTGTTGTCAAGATTTACTTAGTTAAACAAGAGCGTAGCACGCCGGTTGGATTTGTAGAGTTTGCGGATATATTTAATAAATGGTGTTTTATATCATTTAAGGCAGGTTCGGCGAACACAAGCTTCGCGACAAAAGTGCGCGTCCGAGTGAAAGTGCCGCGGCGGCCGGCTGTCGCGGTCCATGTAGCGAGCCGTTTCCTTATCGATTTTCTCTATGCTGCATTAAATTACTATTAAAATCGTGAATGCGGACTACAAACATTTGAGTAAAATGCGATACGCTTGTAAATTTTACATTCGGACGTAGATTTAGCTTATATCGAGTTGTGGTGCCTAACGTTTTGTACAATTTACCATAACTCGTTAATTATGCGGTGAGCGTAACCTCGTCGGGGATGCGGTGCGTGGAGTGACGACAAAGTGCGAACTGCCTTATGCAGATGATCGTAGCGCCGCTCTTCTGGGAATGGTTCAATGTTTGGCTGCTTCAATTTCTCAAGGATTTGTATCATGAAATCAAAATGGTCGCACTAAGAGGTGTTAATGGCTATGGTCCGCACGGATGCTCGGGCCACGTGGGTCAGCCAGAGCTGGCTACGAGCACGAGCAATGGTGCCGGGAACAGTACGAGCGGGCGAGGCATACAGATGCAGTACTTGCCGGTATCAGGGAAGCACGAGTCTTCGCGTTACACCAACTGCGTGGCGCCCTCCAACAGCTATAGGCTACTCACGCAGTCGCGTAAGTGACGCTGTCTACGAAACTAGCGATATAGTTGCAAAGAGCGTAAAAATCTATTTATTATATGCGATGACATTAGTATAGGGTCCAACTTTAGATCTAGTTATAAATATGTCTGTAATTATGCTTGTAGCGTTTCAAAGTTAATTTCCTTAGCGCAGATCAGTTATCCGCGGGCGTCAACACCACACAGTGAGTAGCTGGGGACGGTAGGTTCAGCGTGAGGAATTCGGTTGATGTGCTAACGATCGTGTTGGTTTCCAGGGGCGGAGTGCTACCATCCGTCGGGGACGGCGGGCGGAGGGTTCCTGCCTGGCGCTGGCGCCTCGCAGCCGAACCTTCGCGCCCAGCCCACGCCGCAGCCATCAGCGCCACCCGCTCCTCAAGACATGTCCAAGACTTCCATGGTCAGTATTTTGTTTAATACATTGGCATATAATAGGAGATAGCACTCTGATCTAACAGAAGTTGGCTTCTTTTAAATATGACTAAATAGTAAATACCCCAATCTCACAGAAAAAGTTGGCTTCTAAAATGTTTGCATTATCTATACAAACATACAAGTACACCGAGTATGAAGAATACATTTTCAACCATTAGTCTTTGATTATATACATGTATAATCAAAGAATTTAGTGTTATGTTTTGTATTAGATGTATTTCCGATATGATTTGTATTAATTGAAATTTTATTATTATTTATTAAATAAAATTATATGTGCATTTAGTAAATAAATAATTTAGATGTGATTTAAAGATCAAGAACGAGATATTAGAAATACCATGGCAGACGTAGAGTAAACAAACGGAAATATTATAACAATATCAGTATTAGATAGATAATACAGGACGAATTACGATTTTCATTTTTTTAAATAAAAAAATTACTAATTCAATTCCCCATATGAGGAAAGTTAAATTTTTCCTCATATGTGGGGGGGGGGGATATTTGCCGTAGTTTCCACTCTTGGGAGCGTAATGGCAACCGTAGTTTCTTTTTAAGTTGTTGTCATGAAGACTCTGCTGCTCATCTCCTGTCATCTCTGTCGCCTCTGAACCTAAACCCACGGGATGATAAGGTCCAGTGGATTCTTTTACGGTACGGTGACCATTGCTTGAGTTCTTCAATTTTGTTCTCAATAAACATGCATGTTTTTTGCGCATGCATTCTTTTCCCTCGGCCACGTGGTATATCAACAATTGTAACTGGAAATTTATAAAGTATAAACATAGCGGCCGACACCGGACATCGTTCTCAGATTACTTGCGGCACTACTCGGAGCTACTACGGCTCTCGAAAGATCATTATTGCACACTCGTCTTTCTTTAGTTACATTATTTGGCTATGAATCATTTTAAATACCTACGTGTGCATATATATAATGTATAATATTATGTATACTATATAACTTTTTGAAATAATATATATAAAAAAATTTTGAAGACGTGAAGTTCGCAAACACGCATTGAGGCAGCGCGGTGTACAATTCCTTGCCCTAAACCCAGGAGTAGTAGGACGTGTATAGAATGTAACTTTAACATTTTTATATAAATTTTGCAACGTAGTGGAGCCATGCTGTAGCTATATTATAGTTGTACATAGTACGAATGGGTCGGTCCGACAGGGGAAGGACCACGCTGTCATAGAATGCTAGCGTAGCTTAATGCTGTTGTTTCGTATGGTGAACGTTAAGAACCGGAGGCCCTTTTTACTGGAAACGAGGCATCCCATGTTAGTTCTAAAGAGGTCAGACCTATCACAATAAAAGTTGGCATACATATATGTATTTTTACACGGTGAAGGTTTTCATATTATCAACTTTTTAGTAACTCGCTACACAAGATGGGGCTGAAGGCCATCAACTTCTATAACGTTCAACACGTCGCCATAAAAATTAGTATATACAGGCGGGACAACGTCTGCTGGGTTTTACTAGTTTTACTTATATAAAAATATCTATAAATTAAAATCACTTAATTTTTAACTGGATACGAGTATCTTAGTTCTCAAGGGTGAAAACGCATCTGCATTTTAATTCTTATTCGAGAAAAGATTTAGAGGGCCACAACATCAACTTTTTAATGTGCGAGCAGCTATGCAAGTCTAGGTAAGGAGACCAACCAGTATCACTGCGACCTAAAAGATCTATTGTAATCGCTGCTATGGTCAATAAATAGGAGTTGCTTAGCCGTGAGCGATTTCACTTCTTTTGGGCGGAGTTCATAGTTTCCCAGATGAGTGTTACGTTGGCGCATTAAGGGTCCGCAATCAGTTAGGATGTGCAGAAGCGTTTCTTCCGTTATGGAACAGAACCGACACATCTTTGAGTTGCTTAGTCATAGGATGGACGTGTGCTTTTTAAGACAACAATGTCCAGTTAGGGCACTTGCCAGAATGCGCAATTTATCATCCACTTATTATCAGGTGGACTGTGTGCTCGTTTGTCACCATCATTTCATTAAAAAAAACTTGTTGTGTGATGGCGGCATATAAGAATACTTCATCCCATTTCGTCCCATGCGTGTGGAAAGGACTAAAAAATCGTACGAATTATAAATGGCGATACAATCATCTCGTTTGCACGAAATCTAACCCAGACGGGCGACTGGCAACGTCAAAGGTACGTGGCGACTAAGGTAACTCGTCTCTTCAACGGGGAAGGCCCAACTTTCGCCTTGGACTTTAACGAGCTCTTTTTTTATAGAATAAGGGTGACAGACGAGCATACAGTCCACAGACATCTACATTTAACCTCCATTAAGGATCAAAACGCAGATGCGTTGTCACCCCTGAGGACTGAGATGGAATGCCTCGTTTCCGGTAAAAAAGGCTCTCCGGAACTCTACACTCACTAAACAAAACAACAGGCTTCTATGAGAGCGTGCTCCCTACCCGGTCGAGCCGACCCTTTCGTGCTAAAACCATAATAAACCTGCAACGTGGTTCCACCACGTATACATGAAGTAGATTATCATATATAACTGCATACCAATATGCCTATAGAATGAATGGACCGGCTTGATCGCATGAGTGCCATGCTCGCATAAATCAGCATTAAATAGTAGAATAGTTCTCTTGTTTCATATAGCAGAAGTCGAATATCAGAGGATTTTAACCGACTTCAAAAGCACGGGAGGAGAGGGAGATACTCACTTTGTCTGTCATTTTTTGTGTGTTACCTCAGACCTTTTTTCTAGGTGAACCGATTTTGATGATTCTTTTTTTATTTGAAGGCTGGTGCTTCTCGTGTGGGTCTCATATAAATTTGATCAAGATCTGACCAGTAGCTTTTGAGTAATCCTTAATAATGCGTATTTAATTCGCATCGACTACATTGATGATGTTCTCATTTTATTTGTATCGTAGTCGGATGTACAAAATTTTTGATGTTACCACATGTTTTATACGTGATAGAGCCATGTCTGCAGTTATATTAGAAGTATAGTTGTAGCACGAATGGGTCGGCTCGACCGGGGAAGGACCACGCTCTCACAGAAGACCAGCGTAAAATAGTAGCGTAATGTTGCTGTGTTTCGTATGGTGAGTGTAGCGTAGAGAGACCCTTTTTACTGGAAAAAAGACGTTTCATCTTAGTCCTCAGGGGTGACAACGCATCGCATTTTGATTCGTAATCGAGGATAGATGTAGATGTATATGGGCTATAGCATCCACTTACCATCAGGTGGACTGTGTGCTCGTTTGTCAACCTGTCCTATAACACAATATGTTTATCTTTACATTTTCATCCATTCGTCAACTAATGTAGTGGCGGTAAGAATATTCATTACCCAATAACATTTCGTGGGTGTCGTAAGAGGTGAAAGAGGGAAAAGAAACAGAGAGATAGACAGCAGCATCTACCTGATAACAACTCAAAAGGAACTGGAGTTGTCAGCACGTGTGGGAGGCTACTACGGTAGATTTTCAACAGTGAATAGGCTGTAATGATAATCCTTATTACACACTGCTAACTATACTGGTTGACTATTTTTACCGTCTGAAAAAAAAGGGTATAACATGTGCACGGAGTAAGCCTATGGCACTGATTTTTTACAAAAAATAAAAACAAAAATTTTGAATTAAATAAATACCCTATAATATACTTTACGAACGGCAATATAACAATTAATATACTAGGACATATTTGACCTTGTCACTTGTCACACAGACTCAAGGGCAAAGGGAAATAAAAACAAAAAAAAATTTTGTATTTATTTATTGTAAAATAACAGTGCTTCATAATTTAGTCTTCTACTCCGTTCGCATGTTACACCCTATTTTTTTTCCAGAAGGTAAAAAAGGTCATCCAGTATACTTAACCTTCACAAAGAATGTCGATTTCCACAAAACACGGTCTGTATAATAGCCACCTGCATCCATCGACTTAATACACGTCTTATCAGATCGTTACACCATCTGTGGGGTCACATTTTTTTAAATACTAGCAATGCAATGCTATTAATATTGCTAATATTCCCGTTTACCACTCGTGGTAAGCTGAAAATGTTTGTGTTAGGATAGGGTTACGACAGTAGTCGAATGGTGGATATAACTTTTTAAGTTTGCGGTGCTTGTATTCAGGCTACTGTGGCCTCGAACGTGAAAAACAATATCGCCACGTTATAAAAATTTCTAGTTTTAAAAATAATAATTTTCAAAGTCGACAGACGAACTAATTTATTTTTAACCGACGTCGAAAATAGGAGGTTCACAATTAGAATGTATGTTTTCTTGTGTTATGTTACACGATATCCTAATCGACTGAGACACGATTTTCAAGATCCTTTTTTTTAATAAATAGTTTATGCTCCAGTGGTGACCAATATAAATTTTGAAAAAAAAAAACTCCATCCCTAAGATTTGTAAAAAAACAACTTTTTATAGTCAACCAAATCTGAGAAATACATTTTGACAGCTGTCAGACTTATTGCACCAGGCATGCCAACTAAAAATAGGAACGTACAATATTCGATTCTTAAAAAAATCGATATCGATTATTTAGAGTTGGTAATAATTTACAGTCTCGTTTGAATAATACCAGAATAAATTAAAAACGGATAATTTTAAACACAAGATTTATCAGTTTCTACGTATTCGTTGTTAAGTACTGCTTATTTCTAGAGGCACAGTTATAAAAATTTAAGATTATAATTAAATTAAAAGTAAATTTATTCAATCACTTTCAGTACAACTACCTAACCTCGTAGCTGAGCTGTCGTTGTTTGATTTTCAATAATACAGTCAAAATTAATATCACTTTCAAAGTCATCCATAATATTTTTTTTCTACCACTTTTGCCCAATGATCCTTTGTGAAATCGGCACATGCTTCAACGAATATTAATTTTGCAAGAACAAACAAAATCATAAAATTACGCACAGTAAGTTCCCGAAATGGCGGGATATT